CTCCTTTAATGAAATGTTAATGGTACTATTCTTGCAAACAAAACATTTATGGGTATGCATGCAATGGGTTTGTTAAAATAAGAATTTATTTAGAAAACTCCACTGATGTATGGATTTAATTTGCAAAAGGAAAGGTAATCATGTAAAGGACTTCTGTTTACCAGAAAATACATCTCTTTGTTCAATATCTTTCCTGCGTGGTAGAATAGCATTCAGCAATTATCTTATAGTTTGTGGACATGGTATGAAGAAAATAAAGCCTGCTGACTTCACATATTTGCATTAACATGATCTATTGTTTCATTTTGAATTTTTTTTTAAATCAACTTTTAACATGTAATATCCTCTTTTCTAGTGAGATTATTTATTTTTTCAGTGAAAGCAAATGTTATTATTCTTGCAAACAAAATATTATATTAAACACATATAAGTATAAATAGATGTTTTAAAATTTTGTCCTCTATGGAATTTCAATGTCATTGCTATATATCATGGTGGTGTGGATCAGTGAATTGATGTCTCTTTCACTTTTGGCATACAGCTTGATGTCATCCACTTGATGTCAACTCTGCCTCCTTGTCCCAACTCTGGTTAGCTGCTAAAAGTCGTTTTTTGGACATCACTCAGGTAGCCAGCAATTTAAGGAGAACATACAACTAAACATGTCGCTCCTGCTCCGATTGGAGGGGCAGAAAATGCTGGAATCCAACATTTTTTTGCAAAGTTACACATCGATTCAATATTGATTTAGGTGATATCCAACTGCTGTAACCGGTTGTCATTACTACTGTAGTGAATTATAATTTTACGTTGGCTACACTACCTTCATCTGCACTGTCTGGCTAGCTATGGGTTTTTCGAGAGTGTGAAGCCTGTGATCCTGGCCTGCAGAGCCGCAAACAAGCTATGTTTATTACAGATATTGTTAATACTAAAGGAGGCTGAGGAGTAACAAAACATCTGAGACAAATGAGCAGAAAGGTGCAGGAGGGACAGGTGAGGAGGCCATACTGGTAGCAAGTTGGCTACAAACTATGCTAAGCTAGCAAATCCCTAAAGACACAGTAAATGAATACTGTGAAAATAACAGAGCATGTGCTTTCGATGAAGCAC